TTCTGCTAACACTCTGATATTGAATCTCTTCAGCTTCATCTCTGCCTCACCAAATCCAGAAACAGGTTGGATCAGAGGGTTATACACCCATTGCTCAGTTACTTCAATTCCTAGGATTCTACAGACGTATAACCTCCTTAGAATGCTTTGATCAGGAAGTTAAATTGATGTAGAGTTTGGAGGCACTGAAAATGTACCTTGAGTGCTTTGCAGAGTTTTTTTTAGTCTAAAGTAGCATAACTAGTTACCCCCAAACTTAATGGTACAAACAACTGCTTATTGTCTTCATAAATTGTGCAGATCAGAAATTCAGACTGTGATGCTTCGTGATGTCTGGGGCCTCAGCTAGAAGATTCAGGGGCACCCGGTTGGCTCAGTGAGTTAAGCATTTGACTCTTGATGTCAGCTCATGTCATGGTCTCACAGTTGTGACACTGAGCCCTGCATCAGGTTCTGGGCTGACAGCAGGGAGCCTGCTTGGGATTTTGTCTCTCACTCTGTCTCTCTCTCTCTTCCTCTCTCTCTCTCAAAAAAAAAACCCCACGTTTTTTCTTTTAAAAGAAGACTCAAAGTCTGGGGGCTAGAATCATCTGAAAGCTTGCTCATTCATCTGTGTGGCAGTTTGTGCTGGCTGTCAGCTGGGGGAAGAGGGAGCTGAGTTTTTCCTCCATGTGTTCTCTTTCCTTATAGCATGGTAGCTGGCTCCCCCCAGGGCGAGCTTCCTCAAAGAGGCAGACAGCCAGGACAAAATGACATCCTTCTAACGATTTAGCCAGGAAGTTACATACCATCCTTCTTCTATCCTCTCTTTATCAGAACAATCACAACCCTTGCTGAGATTCACAGGGAGAATCTGATAAGTCTCTGGAGAGTCAGGGGGACTGTAGCTACTGTTCTTGTCGATTTTGGAAAATACAAACCGTGACACCAGTGAATGAGACCAAGCAAGACAGCCATTTCCATGACATAGAAGAAAAAAACATTTTTAGGTGAGCGTCCTTCTTAATGTCCTAGGAATAGTGCCGGGAACTAAATACCGAATACTAAAAATACTTGGTGGAGATGAATTGGTCAGTGGCAGACCAGAACTCTGAGATAACAAAAGGCTCACTTCATTTACCCTAGTCCTTAAAACCAACTACTATTGTTCCTAGGTTTGTGGGAAGGGGAGTTGGAAACTGCTGTTTTAGGAAGATAAATGACCTGCATGTAGAAGATGTTTTATTTCTATCAGGAGACAAGAAACTAAAATTGTACACCTTTCCAAACCTCAGTCACCACAGTTATTTCTACTTGCAGTAAAATCTAAATAAAATGTCCTGAGTCAGGAGTCAGACCATCTAGCTATGAGACCTAATTCTGTCAATTACTAGCTGTATGGCATAAGGCAAGTGGCTTCCCACTTGTACCATGGAAATGATGGTTCTTGCTTTGCCCAGCTTTGTGGGGTTACTGTGAGATTAGAAGCAATAATATGAAATGTGATACACATGCAGGGACCTTTAAAGGAACAGCTGTATAAAACAAAATCCCAATGTATGGTCTACAACAGTAAAGACTTTAGGAAGATGATTTTATGTGATCATGAAAGAGAGGAGCTGGGCACAGGAATAATGAGTGTCTTGATGTAACAGGGTTGATACCGATCATTTGTAAAGATTGATCAGTTGCAGAAACTTAAGAGAACAGTTCAAAGAATTTGCTTTTTATGATTCTTACAGGAAAAGGGGATGAGCCATTTTCCAAGGCTGAGATCATGATTTTACATCAAGGATACGTGAAGCAGACCAGCAGCTGGCAGACGCATCCACAGGAAATACCGAAGGAAAAAATCAAAACGAAGCAGGCTGCATTCCACTAAGAAGGCTCACGATTTAACAAGATTATTAATAGAATGTTTGGTTGTCAACAAAGCTGAGGGAGTGAGTTTATTGGCAAGTTTGATTGACAGGTCCATCATTTAGTAGCAAAAGCCACTTGGTTTCCCTAAGTGGCTGGTACAAATTAGTGTCACCTACATCCACACCTCCACCCCCTCCACAACGTGCAAGAGATTCTGTGGATTCACATCCTTTCTACTTCTTGGGATTGAACGTAGATTATTTTAAATTGTTTTCCAATATAGTGGTGTAAGTTGGAAATCTTGTTGAGGTTTTGATTTGTATTTAAAAAAAATTTTTTTTTAATGTTTTTATTTATTTTTGAGACAGAGACAGAGCATGAGCATGGGAGGGGCAGAGAGAGGGGGAGACACAGAATCTGAAGCAGACTCCAGGCTCTGACCTGTCAGCACAGAGCCGACGTGGGGCTCAAACCCACAGACTGTGAGATCATGACCTGAGCTGAAGTTGGACGTTTAACCGACTGAACCACCCAGGCGCCACTTGATTTGTATTTCTTGATCACTTACACTTTTGATTTTTTTTTCATGTTTATTGACTATTTGCATTTTCTCTAATATAAAATTCCTGTCTACTTCTTTTACCCAATTTTATTAAAAAAATTTTATTACCCAATTTTCTATGAGGTTGTTTATGTGTACCAGTTTGTGGGAGTTATTTACAGGTTCTTGAGACTGATCCTTTGTCCCTTGTATGTATTGTGAATATTTTCTCCCAGTCAATACCCTGAGGGACAAAAGAACTGAGCTCATTCAGCTCCAGAGTCATGAGAAATAGTAAACAATTGTTGTTCCTCAGTAGTAGTTTGTAACATGGCAACAGATAATTAAAATAATTTTATTTTGTTGCCATTTGCAGCAACGTGGATGGAACTGGAGGGTATTTTGCTAACTGAAATAAGCCAGGCAGATAAAGACACATACCATATGTTTTCACTCATATGTAGATCCTGAGAAACTTAACAGAAGACCATGGGGGAGGGGAAGGGGGGGAAATAAAGTTACAGAGAGGGAGGGAAGCAAACCATCAGAGACTCTTAGGACTGAGAACAAACTAAGGGCAGATGGGGGGGTGGGGGAGAGGGGAAAGCGGGTGATGGGCAGGGAGGAGGGTACTTACTGGGTGTTGTATGGAAACCAATTTGACAATGAATTATATCAAAAAAATAAAAATCCGTTCTATCTATATTTTATGCCAAAATTTTCCTTACATACCATTTTTATCTTTTTGCTTTGTTTTTTTTGTTTGTTTGTTTTTTAGCTGATCAATCTTCCCACAGTTTTATCTATTTTGTTCACCTTTTAAAGACCAAACTTTTGGGGCACCTGTGGCTCAGTTGGTTAAGCGTCCGACAAGAGCTCTGAGATGATTTTGGCTCAGGCCATGATCTCACGATCCGTGAGTTCGAGCCCTGTGTCCAGCTCTGCACTGTCAGTCCTTGGGATTCTCTCTCTCTCCCTCTCTTTCTGTCCTTCCCCTCACCCCCCTCTAAATAAATAAATAAACTAAAAAAAAAAAAAAAACTTAAAAAAAAGACCAAACTTTCAGCTTTATTGAACTTCATTATTTTTGTTTTCTTTTCTGTTTTATTAATTTCCACTCTTTTTTTTTTTTTTAAGTATTTAATTTCTTCTATGTAGTTTGGGGACAATTCTATCGCCTTCCTTTAGCTTCTTAAGATAGGCCATTTAACTCTAATTTTAAGGTTTCCTCTCCTCTAATATAAAGATTTAAACATACAAATTAGAATCATAACACTGCATTTATTGCATCCCATGAGTTTTGATGTCATGTTTTATTATTATCCAATTTTATACATTTAGACAATTCTTCTTCTAATAGAAGAATAATCCACTCTTGAGTTTTTACCATTTATCCACTCTCTGTCCCCATCTTACCTCTGTCTGAAACAAGTAAGAAGGGTTGCTACTGGCATCTAGTGGGTAGAGTCCAGCATGCGGCTAAACATGCTTCAGAGCTCAAAGCAGTACCTCCACTCTGCCAACAAATAATTATCTGGCCCAAAATGTCAATAGTGCCAAGGTTTAGGAACACTAATTGAGACCAACATATAAAAGTAATGAACAAATATTGTTACCTTGATTTATCTCTGTCCCCTGTTACGAATCAGGCATCTCTTCAGAGAATACCAGGTAAAACTCAAGCATGGTGCTTTGTAGAGATTGTGGATGGCTCAAAGGTAAAATTTCCATGGTGTGGTTAGCTCAATTCCCAGTGCTGTGTCCATGTTCTGGATATGAGAAAAAATGGAATGAAGTTTAGAGGTCCATGAAATATGGCTGAGGCTATGGTTTTACCTGATCTCTTTTCTATGTTCCACAGTACATGTGGCCAGATGAAGAAGACCATGCCAGAAAGCCATTCCCTGACATCAAACAACAGGGATCTGTACCTAGGCCTTAGGCTTCAGTATGCTGGCACACTGCCAGCAATATAATGGATGCTTAAACATGTCGGATGGCTCTTAAAACCTGCCTACTGCCCTTACATGTACAAGTGGTCATTGAGCTTTGGGGACTAGGTGGGAAAATACATTTGTGAACAGAAAAATCATTTGCACACAGAAAGGTTTGTTTTCAGTAATATACACGCCATACAAGACAAACGTCTTTCCAATGCACAGACCACTGTTTTTCTTGTACACTGCAAATGTAAGACCCTGGAGCTAGAATTAGAGGCTATAGCCCTTGACCAAATCCTGTCCATAACTAGCCAAGTGGCCTTTATTCATCTGTAAAAGGGAGGTGATCTTTCTAGTTCTGCCAGTTTAGAGGTCATTGTCAGGCTTAGCATAGAAAATACTTGTCAAATGAACTATTAATGCTTGGCATTAAAATAAATGGGTTACAAAAAGCAAAATCATAATATAGGCTGGAAGATAGCAAAGACTTTATTAGAAAGGAACCAGAAAAGCTTTCCCACATCTGGGAAGACAATGCAGAGTAATTATGAAAGGTGGAAGCAAGAAAGAAGAAGAATAAGTATATAAAAATGATTATAATGAAATAGTAAACAAGGAAGAAACAAAAAAAAATCATAAATTTGTGCTTTGTGATATTGAGAGGGAAAGTGGTGATCATTTTGCAAGGCTGCCACAATGACTGTAGGTCAAGGAGAAAGAATGCCTACAGCTATCAGAGATAAACAGCAAATAAAGACGAAGGCTATAAGACTGAAGTTCTTTGCAGCAACGTGCATACTAGCAGAGCCTTTTAATCACGAGTATGACTAATAAAGGTGGTGGCAGCATGCTGGATGCCAATGAAGCCTGGTAGTAGACTTTGGGACAGTAATTGGAGAACTGATGATTGAGAGAACTTTGGTCTCTGTCACACAATGATTTAGTATGTGGATCAACAGTAGAAAGGCTGGCAGCAGCTGGACACACAGCAAGTGTGGAAGCAGGTGGTCCTACAGCAGGTAGTGTGGCAATGGGTTGGGCAGCAGCAGGGCTGGCAGCAGCTGGGCTGGCAACAGTTGGACCCACAGCCATGGGGCTGACAGCAGGTGGTCCTCCAGCAGGTGGTTTGATAGAAAATTGGGCCGCAGCAAGACTGGCAGTTGCTGGACCCACAGTAGCTCTACCCACTACAGGTTTGTCCACAGCTGTTGGGCCCACAGCTGGGCTGGCAGCAGGTGGTTTGACAGCAAGTTGGGTGGCAGCAAGGCTGGCAGCAGCTGGACCCACAGCCACTGGGCTAATGGCATGTGGGGTGGAAGCAAGTGATCCGGCAGCAAGGGGAGCAGCACGAGTGGGTCATGGTGTCAGGAGTGAAGAGTGGGCTTCTTCTGAGGGGTGAGTTTCTCAGATTCTGGTGCCTCTTCCTGTTCTGGGGATTTTATGCACTGGACCCCAAAGTTTGGACCAATGGGAAGGACTTTCTTTGTTGGTATTTACATGGTGTTCCATAGTCACTGGGGGCTTGTAGGAGAGGAAGTTCCACAATTTCAAGAATATTTAGAAAATAAATATTTAATGTGTTTCCTATTTGAGAATAACTCATATAAACATTTTTAGATTAAAGGAAAGTGGTCACATCAGCAGTGTCATTCTTCTTCAGTCATCATCAGATCATGTATTCAAGTTCTTGCTGGGCTGGGTAGGGTCAGAGCAGCGGTCCCTCCCCAGCTTTGTTTCTTAGGTTGCATGTAGACTGGGAGTATCCCTGGAGTAGGGGAGCAGGATGCTGATATGTTCATAGGGATGAATTAAATTCATGCCTGAGCCCAAATCTCTTTCCCCCCAAAGCCTGATTCAAGACTCCCACAGGCATATCTGTCTCTTGTAGCAACCTACCCCACTTGTATATCCCAGTTCAACCAACGACCCTTGGGTAGAGGATGTTTGGCATCATCTCTTCCATATGGCAAGGCAGAACCAAGGCAGGTGAGTAGAAGCAGCAGCAATACACTTGGACTAAGCAAGTATCCGTCAATGTACATCCTTGTTGACCAGTACTCCTGATTTACCTAAGACTAAAGGCTTTTGCAGGATATAGGACTTTCAGTGGTATAACTGGGGCAGTATGGGCAAACCAGGGTGAGTTGGATGATTCTAGTCCTAATCTTACTAACTAGCCTAGTCAGTGACTTAATGTGGCTGACTACAACTTTATTGTGCTGAATTGTTTTTAATTTTTAATTCTTTTGTTTCCTTCCTCCCTCTCCCTGTCTCTCATTCTTCATTTCTTCCTTTTTATGCTATGTCTGTCTCTCTCTTTCTCTGTCTTTTCTTCCCTTTCCCCTCCTTTGTTCATTCACTCATTCATTCGTTTGTTCATTCATTCCTTCCTTCCCTCCTTCCTTCCTCCCTTTCAATACCTCTTGCTCTTCCTCTTCTGCTTTCTCCTCAGTCTTATTTTTCTTCTAGATACTGTGTCTGTCCACCAATCTGATGAACAAAATATTGGAGTGACTGGTGAAAACCATAGATTGTCAATGATATCTTGAATATGCCTGCCATATGTCATAGATGTAAGTGTGTTAGATCTGCATCTCTATGCCCAAGGGCTGTTTTCATGTAACAGCAGAATGTCATGCTTCCTATACATACCACATTGAGAGAAATGCTCAACAAATGATTCTGGAGAGTGGTTTATAAAGACTCTAGCTCTCTTACTGCTATTAGGATAATCCCAATGTGTGTATGCGTTACATCATCTCTGATATATTTTTCAGGTTTAAGGTTCACTTGCAAACTGTGACACTGGCCTTAAAGTGCTCCCTCCCTGTGTCACTTCCCCACACTCCTACCAGTGTGATCTGTCCTCCCCAGAGTAGCTTGCTAGAGAAACCAAACTATGACATTACTTTACCCTTCTCAGTCCTGATTTCCTCATCTCCACAATTGGGAACCTTAATACCTATGTTGAAAATTTCCTCAAGAATTAAAGATACTACCAATTTAATGCAATCCCAATCAAAATACCAACAGCATATTTTTCATAGAACTAGAACAAATAATTCTAATTTGTATGGAGCCACAAAAGATCCCAAATAGCCAAAGTTATTTGAAAAAGGAAAGCAAAGCTGGAGTTACCACAGTTCAAGACAAAGCCATAATAATCAAAACAGTTTGGAACTGGCACAAAAATAGACACACAGACCAGTGGAATAGAATAGAAAACCCAGAAATAAACCAAGAATTATATGGTCAATTAGTCTCTGACAAAGGAGGCAAAAATATGCAATGGGAAAAAGACAGTCTCTTTAACAAATGGTGTTGGGAAAACTGGATAGCTACAGGCAAAAGAATGAAACTAGACCACTTTCTTACACCATACACAAAAATAAATTCTAAATGGATTAAAGACCTAAGTGTGAGACCTGAAAGCATAAAAATTCTGGAAGACAGCACAGGCAGTAATGTCTCTGATACTGATAATAGCAAATATTTTCTAGATAGGTCTCCTGAGGCCAGGGAAATAAAGCAAAAGTAATCTATCAGGACTACATCAAAATAAAAAGTGTCTGCATAGCTAAGGAAACAATCAACAAAACTAAAAGGCAACCTACGAAATGGGAGAATTTGTAACCGACATATCTGAAAAGGGTCAGTATCCAAATTATGTAAAGAACGTACACAACTCAACACCTCCAAAAAAGTAACCCAATTAAATAATGGACAGAAGACATGAACAGACATTTCTCCAAAGAAGACTTATAGATGGCCAACAGACACATGAAAAGATACTCAACGTGACTCATCATCAGGGAAATGAAATTCAAAATTATAAGATATAGCACCTCACACCTGTCACAATGGCTACAACCAACAACAGAAAAACAACAGCTGTTGGTGAGGATGTGGAGAAAGGGAACTCTCCTGTACTACTGGTGGCTCCATTGTGGAAAACAGTATGGAGTTTCCTCAGAAAGTTAAAAACAGAACTACCTTATGATCCAGTAATTGCACTACTGGGTATTTACCTCTAAAATAGAAAAACACTAATTCAAAGGGATACATGCAACCCTATGTTTGTAGCGGCATTATTTACAATAGCCAGTATATGGAAGCAGCCCAAGTGTCCACTGATAGACAAATGGATAAAGAAGATGTGGTATATATCTACAATGGAATATAATTCAGCCATAAAAATGAATGAAGTCTTACATTTGTAACGACATGGATGAAACTAGAGAGTATAATGCTAAATTAAATAAGTCAGTCAGAGAAAGACAAATACCATATGGTTTCACTCATGTGGAATTTAAAAAAGTAAATGAAAGAGCAAAGGAAAAGAGAGACAGACTCTTTAACTAGAGAGAACAAACCGATGGTTACCAGAGGAGACAGTGGTGGGGGAATGGTTGAAATAGGTGACGAGGATTAAGGAGTGCATTTGTGATGAGCATTGGGTGCTGTATGGAAACGATGAATCACTATATTGTACACCTGAAATGAATTTGACATGGTAGATCAACTATATTGGAATTAAAATAAAAACTTAATAAAAGGAAAGATTTAAAGATAATGTACATGAAGCATTTGGTCAATACCTAGCAAGTAGTAGGACCACGGGTCATGTCAGTTCTTCATCCTGTCACACAGATACCCAGCTCTTAAGAATCAGAGGTAGGCAAGTTTAGTCTTGGCAGTCTCTCCAGAGCATCCCAGATACGTAGGCGTCAACGTTGGCAAGTGCCCTGGACATGAGCCTTCACAGCTCATCAGAGGTCCTTCCACTGATCCCAGAATGTGACCCAAGGCTTAATTCTCCTTTTCCTCTCAGAGCCTAAATCGAGCCTCACACCTCTGAGTGCTGAGGCAGCACCATTAGTTCAGGACCAGAAGCGCCAGCCTTCTGTCTATCACAACTCCTATGAATGTCCACCTTGTTTTCTCTTTTTCTTCCTCACATTCTTCTCACCACCCTGGAACAGGCATCTTTATTTCCCTCAAATGCTTCATAGTTCCTTCACAAAATGGATAGTGTTTGTTCTATAGATGGTTCAGAGCTCATGGATTACTTGAAGTCATACATGCCCATTGCACAGACTCTCAGTCCCTGACATTGTCCTTCCTTAATTGTCTTGGTAACATTTTGATCACAATAACAAATTGCCTTACAGTTGGGGAGCATAATATGTTTGGCATAAAATTGTCTGATACCTTTTAACTCTGCCATTAGGTCTTGAGGACTAGGAGGCCAAACAAGAATGTGATTTCCACAACCCAAACACGAGTGTGTTCAGCCACGTCTGTGGCTCATGAGGACACTGCATGCTCACCTGTATCTGATGCAGAGGAGTGCTGAGGGGCTGGATGGAGCCCAAGGCAGCAAAAAGATCCAAGATCTCTAAAGGGAAGGTCCTACTGCCCCCACATGAGGCTGCTGATGGCTGAACTGTAGGATACTAATGTCTACAACTTTGTCCCAGATGTCACCTGCATATACTGGAGAATATTACTTCTGTGGTCAAAGAAGACACTTAGATGAACATCTTGCTGGTGCTCAGTCCCAGGATGTTTTCTAACTTGTCTGGAGAGATGAATGTAAGTGCCCTGCATCAAAACAGGAGACACAGTCTGGGATCTGAGTCTGTCCATGTCAGGTACATGACATTCCACTGTGAAATTTCCTTATCTGAAAATGGAGACAATAATTAGTGGAGGACTGTACGAGGCTCCAAATAGATACTGCATGTGATATGCAACCTGTGTATAAATCCTTACATTGAGAATGCTGTACAAGGAAACAAAGATCATATGGGATTCAGAATGGTACAGAATTTCTTAAGAAATATAGATGAGATCCTTTATATCTAGGGAGACCTTCAAAGTGATCATGCAAAGAAGAAAGCAGGATACAAGGACCGTGAGTACACTGAGAAAGAAAACATAATTTGAGACTTACAGTAGTTGCAGACACCTATGTATGAATCCTGAGGATTTCTTTCTCTATGTTACTGACAGGGAGAGGGTGAAGATCTTGACTGTGGAGTTAAGGCAGAGATCATGACTCGGTATCAGGATGCATGAAGTTAGCATATGACTCATAAGATGATGGAAGAAGAGAATCAGGGAGAAGTGGTCCACACTTCATCAAACTGATTCATAAGCTCGTAGACAGGCAGATGAATAAGAGAAATGTTGGCGATTGCATGCTGACTTTCAACAATGATTGGCAGTGACTTTGTTTTCCAAATGGCAAACCATGTTGCGTGGAGATGGTGGTTCTTGGCAAGGCAATCAGCAGCAGGAAGGATGGCAGCAGCTGGACACACAGCAAGGGTGGCAGCAGGTGGTTCTACAGCAGGTGGTGTGGTAGCAAGCTGGGTGGTAGCATGACTGGCAGCAGGTAGACCCACTGCAAATTTGTCCACAGCCGCTGGACCCACAGCATGTGGTCTGGCAGCAGGAAGTCACACATGTTGGCTGGCAGCATGTGGTCCGGCAGCAGGTGGTCCTGCAGCACGTAGGCTGGCAGCAGGAGGGGAAACATGAGTGAGTCATGGTGTCAGGGGTGGAGGATGGACAGGTCCTGTGCAGAGGTGAGGTTTTCAGATTTTGGTGCCTCCTCCTGATCTGGGGCTTTTATGTGTTGGACCGCCGAAGTTTAGACCAATGGGTGGGACTTTCCTTGTTGGTGTTTACATTGTTTTCCATAGTCACTGGGGGCTTGTAGAAGAAGACATTCCATAAATGATAGGAATCTTTAGAAAATAGGTGTTTAATGTGTTTCCTATTTGAGAATAACTCATAGAAACATTTTCAGATTAAAGGAAATTTGTCACATCAGCAGCATCGTTCTTGCTTCAATGATCATCAGATCATGTATTCATTTCCAGTTTGACTGGGTAGTGACAGAGCAGTGATCCCTCCCCAGCTTTGGTCCTTAGGTTGTATGTGGATTAGGAGTATTCCTGGGGAGAGGAACATGATGCTGATATGTTCATGGGGACAAATTTAGTAGATGCGTGAGCCCAGGTCTGTTTCCCCACAAAAGCCTGATTCAAGACTCCCACAGGCATATCCGTCTCTTGTAGTAACTCAGTTCAACCAAGGACTTTTGGGTAGAGATGTCCGGTATCATCTCTTTCACATGACAAGGCATAACCAAAGCAGGTGGGTAGAAGCAGCAGCAGTACACTGGGACTAAGCAAGCATCAGTCAATGTACATCCTTGTTGACCAGTAGTGCTGATTTGCCTAGGATTGAGTGCTTTCTCAGGATGTAGGACTTTCAGGGGTGTAACTGGGGCAGTATGGACGAACCAGTGTGAGTTGGGTGATTCTAGTCCTAACCTTGTTAACTAGCCTAGTCAGTGACTTCATGTTTAGAGTACATCTTTATTGTGCTGAATTGTTTTTAATTCTTAATTCCTTCCTTCCTTCCTTCCTTCCTTCCTTCCTTCCTTCCTTCCTTCCTTCCTTCCTTCCTTCTTCTTTCTCTGCTTTGTGTCCATCTCTCTCTTATTTCCCTTTTTGTCTTCCCTTTTCTTCCCTCTTTGCTTTCTCCTTCCTTCCTTCCTTCCTTTCTCCCTTCCTTCCTTCCTTCTTCCTTCCTTCCTTTCCTTCTACCCTTTCAATTCCTCTTGCTTCTCCTCCTCTGTTTTCTCTTCAGTCTTATTTTTCTTCTACATATTGTGTCTGTCCACCACTCTGATGAAAAAAATATTGGAGTGACTGGTGAAAACCATAGTTTCTCAATATCTTGAATATGCCCACTGTATGTCATAGATCTAAGTGTTTTGGGGACAATTTCTACCTACCAGACCTGCATCTCTATGCCTAAGGGCTGTTTTCATGCAACAGCAAAATGTCATGCTTTCTATGTGTACCACACTGAGAGAAATGCTCAACCAACGATTCTGGAGAGTTGATTTAAAAAGACTCCAGCTCCCTTGTAGCTATTAGGAGAATCCCATCATGTGTGTGTTACATCATCTCTGATATATTTTTCAGGTTTAAGGTTCACTTGCAAACTGTGACACTGGCCTTAAAGTGCCCCCTCCCTGTGTCACTTCCCCACACTTCTACCAGTGTGATTTGACCTCCCCAAGGAAACTACGTGCCTGGACTCTATCCTTCAGAGTAGATTCTGGGAGAAACCAAAGTCTGGCATTACTTTACCCTTCTCAGTCCTATTTCTTCATCTCCATAATGGGAACCTTAATACCTATGTTGAAAATTTCTTCATAGAAATTATTAATTTCTAATTCTCAATTCTTCTTAAAGAATTAAAGATAACATACATGAAGGATTTGGTCAATACCTGGCAAGTAGTAGGAACTAGGTTATGTCAGTTCTTCATCTCATCACCCAATCATCTGGCTCTTAAGAAACAGTATTAGGCTCGCATGGTCTTGGCAGTCTCTTCAGAGAATCCCAGATATGTAGTCTACAATGTTGGCATGTGTCCTGGAAATGAACCTTCACGGTTCATCAAGATTCCTCCACTGCTCCCAGGAGGTGACTCGGGGCCTAATGTTCCTAAGTCTTGAGCCCAAATCAAGCCTCACATCCCTGAGTGCTGAGGAAGCACCATTATTTCAGGACCAGAGTGCCAACTTTCTATTATAACTCCTATGAATGCCCACATTGTGTTATTTGTCTTCTTCCTCACATTCTTCTCACCCTCCTGGAACACACTCTTAATTCCCCTCAAATCCTTCAGAGTTGCCTCACAGAATAGAGGAGGTTGTTTAGTTTCTTGGATGGTTCAGAAAATCATATGTGCTCATTGCACAGTCTCTGAGTCTTCAATTTTGTCTTAAATTTCTTTAAGAACTTTTTTTAATGTTTTTTCATTTTCGAGAGAGAGAGAGAGAGAGGCAGAAAGAGAGGGGGACAGAGGAGCTGAAGTGGGTTCTGCCCTGGCAGCAGCAAGTCCAATGCAGAGCTCAAACTCACAAACCATGAGATCATAACCTGAGCTGAAGTCGGGCACCCAACCGAGTGAGCCATCCAGGTGACCCTTTCTTAAATTTCTTAATAGCATTTTGGTCAGGATGACAAATGGCCATAACATTAGGGAGAGTGCAATATATGCTCCATTTTTTTATTACAGGGAATTACTTATTTTCTCATTCTGGTGGTAGATGTTTAGTAGAAGGAGGTTATTCTGAATTGGATTTGCATGAAACAAAGATATTAGTCAGTTTAGATGAGACTCTATTGTGAGGACGCAACGGATGCTAACAAGATTTCATGGTGACAAATTGCACGTGTGGCTGAACATATGGAGATGGGAAAGGCTCCCTGTTTTCTTGACAGCTCCAAAATGCAGTCCTACCTGCCCTCACATGTATCTGCTGCTTGCTGAGTTGTGAGAAACTGATTTTTGAACAGATGTTATCTGCATATATGAGGGGTTATTTCCTCCATTGTTAAAGGAGAAATTCATTTGCACAGCTTACTAGTCCTCAGTACTAAATATTATTGCTACTTTTACTGACATGTAAAAGTAGTTGCCTTTGAGCAGGAAAAAAAAATATCCAGTCCTGAATCTGAGTCTGTCCATTATTGGCTATATGAAATTACACAGTGAAATATTCTCACCTAAAAATGTGGAATACAATTCATGTTAGGCTGCTGTGTAGCTCATGTTTGATGATACATATGGTACCCAATATGTATACAAGTTCTGATATCAATACAGTAAAACAAAACAATATGGGGAGAATTAGGGTATAGACTTTATTAAGAGGCATATAAGGCATGTAAAACACTTGCATCTAACGAGATGACTCAAATGATTATAAAAAAATGAAAGTAGGAGAAAGAATCATAAGTACATTGAAAATATGATTATGAAGTTTATTAATCAGTTGCAGGAATCTATGAAAAAAACATGAAAACTTGTTTTCTTAAGTTACTTTGAGGGAGCAGGTGATCCTGACTTCAGAATCAAAGCCAAGGCCATAACTTAGTACCAAGAATTTCTGAAGCTGCACATGAGCCACATACATGGGAGAGAGAGACTTGGAGGAAGTCCTCTGCACAGCATCAAGCTGATTCACAAGCTTATAAACATATATGAGAAACAAAAATGTTGGCGATTGCACGCTGGCTTTCACCAAAATCTAGAAAGGAAATTTGGCCCCCAAATGGCAAGCCAGTTAACAGGAGGGTGTTATGTGCAGATGGTGTTTGGTAAGACAATCAGCAGCAGGAAGGCTGGCAGCAGCTGGACCCACAGCTGCTAGACCCACAGCAGTTTTGTGCACAGCCGCTGGACCCACAGCAGCTGGGCTGGCAGCAGGTGGTCCTGCAGCAGCTGGTCCTGCAGCAGGTGGTATGACGGCAAGTTGAGCAGCAGCAAGGCTGGCAGCAGCTCGACCCACAACAGCAAGGCTGGCAGCAGCTGGACCCACAGCATGTGGGCTGGCAGCAGGTGGTCCTGCAGCATGTAGGCTGGCAGCAAGGGGAGCAGCACGAGTGGGTCATGGTGTCAGGCATGGAGTATGGGTTCCTGTTCAGAGGTGAGTTTCTCAGATTTTGATGTTTCCTCCTGTTTTGGGATTTTTATGCACTGGCGTCTCCAAAGTTCGGACCAATGAACAGGACTTTCCGTGTTGTTTACATGTTTTTTGTTAGTTAGTTTGTTTGTTTGTTTGTTTTTGTAGTAACTGGAGAATTGTCAAGGAGGAAGTTGTTCCTTTAAAGTGTTTTGAGGCTTCAATAATTTAGTCTTTGTCACTTTCTTAATTGAGAATACTACATAAGAACCTTTTCCAGAAATGAGAAAGTCAGGAATCAACACCAGCTACATTTCTGGTCATTTGACATGATGTGGTCATGTGATAGTTTCTGCTGGCTTAGCAAAGGTCAGAACAATTGTCCTTTGCCTGCTATGTTCTTTTGGGCATAGTTAGATGGGAAGTGTCCTTTATTTCTTCTCTGATCTTTGTTATTTCCTTCTTTATTGTAACTTTGGTTTTTGTTGTTGTTGTTCAATTTTAAAGTTCTTTGAGGTGTAAAATTGGTTGTTTATTTGAGATTTTTCTTGTTTCTTGATGTAGGCATTTATCACTATTAACTTCCTCTAAGAACTGCTTTTGCTGCATCGTGGAACTTTCGGTCCATTGTATTTCAGTTTTCATTTATCTCAGGTAGTTTTTGATTTCTGTTTTGAATCCTTCTTCAACCCATTGGTTGTACACTGCATGTTGTTTAGTTTCCACGTATTTGTGAATTTTGCAGTGTTCTTTTTCTAATTGATTTATACAGTTTCGACTCTTGTCATAAAATATGCTTGCTATGATTTTAATATTCTTTTTTAATAAAATTTTTAAGTTGTATTTATTGATTTTGAGAGAGCCAGAGACAGCATGAGTAAGGGAGGGGTAGAGAAGGGAAAGAGAGAATCCCAAGCAGGCTTCCTATGTCAGTGCAGGCTCCAACTCACCAACCTGTGAGATCATGATCTGAGACGAAACCAAGAGTCAGGATGCTTAACCAACTGAGCCACCCTCGTGTCCCTTATTTTAATATTCTTAAATTTATTAAGACTTGCTTTGTGGTCTAATATATGATCTGTCCTGGATAATATTCCATGTGCACTTGAGAAGAATATGTGTTCTGTTGTTTTTGGATGGAATGTTCTATATATGTCTGTTAACTCCATCTGTTGTAACATTGTTTAAAGCCCATGTTTCCGTACTGATTTCTGTCTGGATCTTCTACCCATTGGTAAAAGTAGGGTATTAAAGATCTCTACTATTATTGTATTGTTGTATATTCCTCCCTTTAGGTATGTTAATATTCACTTTGTATTTTTAGGTGCTCCTATAATATAAACATTCTGATAGAGAAATAACATAAGCAATTCACCTGTTGGTGTTTCTCCAACAAAAACATGTAAATAAATAAATAAGTACATATATAATGAATATATAATGCAATGGTAAATGGGATAGATTCCTTGATTTCTCTTTCTGCAGATTCATAATTGGTGTATAGAAATGCAACCAATTTCTGTATGTTGATTTTATATCATGCGACTTTGCTGAATTCACGCATCAGTTCTAGCAGGTTTTTTTTGTGGAGTCTTTCGGGGTTTCCATGTAGAGTATCATGTCATCAGCAAAGAGTGAAAGTTTGACATCTTCTTTGCCAATGTGTATGCCTTTTATTTCTCTTTGTTGTCTGATTGTTGTGGCTAGGACTTCCAACACTATGTTAAACAAAGGTGGTGAGACATCCCTGTTGTGTTCCTGACCTTAGGAGGAACAGTCTTTCCCCATTGAAGATATTAGTTGTGGGCCTATCATATATGGGCTTTTATGATGTTAGGGCATGTTTCTTCTATCCCTATTTTCTTGAGGGATTTTTATCAAGAAAGGATGTTGTATTTTGTCAAATGCTTTTTCTGTGTCTATTGAAAAGATCATATGGTTCTTATCCTTTCTTTTATTAATGTGGTGTATCACATTGATTGATTTGCAAATATTGAACCAGTCCTGCAGCCCAGGAATAAATCCTGCTTGATCACAGTGAATATTATTCTAATGTACTGTTGAATTCAATTTACTAGTATCTTGTTGAGAATTTTTGCATCCTGGTTCATCAGAGATATTGGCCTATAGTTCTCCTTTTTAGTGGAGTCTTTGATTGGTTTTGGAATCAAGGTAATGCTTCATAATGAGTTTGGAAGCTTTATTTCCATTTCTACTTTTTGGAACAGTTTGAGAAGAATAGGTATTAACTCTGCTTTAAATGTCTGGTAGAGAGAGCGAGAGGAAGATGGCGGCGTAGGAGGACGCTGGGCTCACCGCGCGTCCTGCTGATCACTTAGATTCCACCTACACCTGCCTAAATAACCCAGAAAACCACCAGAGGATTAGCAGAACGGAGTCGCCGGAGCCAAGCGCAGACGATAGGCCCACGGAAGAGGGTAGGAAGGGCGGCGAGGCGGTGCGCGCTCCACGGACTGGCGGGAGGGAGCCGGGGCGGAGGGGCGGCTCGCCGGCCAAGCAGAGCCCCCGAGTCTGGCTTGCAAAAAGCGGAGGGGCCTGACGGACTGTGTTCCGGCAGCAAGCGCGACTTAGCAGCTGGGAGGTCATAAGTTAACAGCTCTGCTCAGAAAACGGGAAGGCTGGAGGACAAAGGGAAGGAAAGCTGCTGAGCCCCCGGACAACAGAGCTCAGTTTGGTGGGGAACAAAGGCGCTCGCCAGCGCCATCTTCCCCGCCCATCCCCCAGCCAAAATCCCAAAGAGAACCAGTTCCTGCCAGGGAACTTGCTCGCTCCGCGCAAACACCCAACTCTGCGCTTCTGCGGA